AAAAAAGCCTTCATTACCAGTGGAATATGCACGATGGATAATTGGGGCATAGTGAAATGCCATCTAAAGACACAAAATGCGTCCTCCTTCCGATTGGAACAATGTTGCCCATAGGACACATCTTAATCCATGTATGCAACTTTCAATCAGTTGGGCACTCCTCTCACTCCACGTTCAGCAAGTGTTAACGACCTCTTCACCATTGGCCAAGAAGACCCGAGTGGTGTTCAGTTATCAGACAACGCACTCCTGTGTTTGGTCACTGTAATTAACTACACCAGGAGGCCGGCTTCACAAGTGACTATCTTGTTATATCAAATATCGCAATTCGTGTTGTTTTGTATCTCATGCTATCGCCTTTAGAGGCCTTATCCTCGGTCTTGAGAAAGTAATTTATTCCCCACCAGTATCTGGAAGTCTGTTTTTTATTGTCCTTAGAAATTCAATGAAAAAATGCTTAAATGAGGGGATAAGAATTTGCATGGACAAAGTAAGTCTAGTGTGAATCTTTATTTGCAGTGACAATAATTCAACTAATAATACACTACAATACACAAAGAAACAATACAAAACAAAACAATAGAGTAGAAGCTCAACGTCTGCGCACACGTCTAAATGGGTTTGTAAAGAAAGACCTGATCGAACGAAATATTGTTCTCCAAAATGGAGTTCCTCTCCGCTGGTGACAGGCGGGGCACAGGAAGGAAGAGTTAGAGCGCTCACTTTCGATTAAGCATTGCATATGATATGGCCGCTCACAGCCTCGACATCTGGTCATCGTGCCGTGTGATATACCACGATAACACCTGTGGCATATGTGATAGGGCGATATAAAACCCATGTAATATCTAGCGCTGAGGCGAGATTGAGATGTATCGGCAATTAGAGCAAAGAATCGGTCAACTTCATCGTCGCTCTCGTCGGTATCATCCTCAAACACTCCCTCTAGTCGATCCACCAGTTGATGTCCAAGCTTCTCCTAAAATGTAATGACTTTCAAACGTGACCTCTTCAACAAACCTCTTCCACAACTGGACCACCAATTCGGTGGAGTATACCGATGGTGTCAAATGGTGTACGGTCAAGAGGACACTTTCTTCTAGTTCCAGACCACCTTTTGATGCAATCGTAGCAGAAGATATGTTTGCATTCACATAGCATTCCGAGTGGGAGTTTCAATTCCTCCAGACACACAGAGCACTTGTCTGCACACGACATGCTCCAAATGATTTGTCAAATGTGGCGCAATGTTTAAAAGCACTCAAACAAAATTGCTACATGATAACAGCCTTGCAATTTTTACATCCAATTTTCCCAACACCTCCTCATTACAGCAGTTGTCATAATTAAATATTTCACTACATTATAATTTTTATTATTTTAAATGCTCTCACACTTTTCACTCTACTACTACTACTACTACTACTACTATTAACACTACTAACACTACTACAGTTTTAGCTGAGAACCATTTAATAGTCTCTTTTAAAACATCAGCATTACGGTTCAATTTCATCGCTTCACATAGGAGTTGAACCAATCCTAATCTAACTAACTCACCAATGCCAATAAATAAATTAGTCTGATTTGTGCCCATTAGAGTTATTCATTATTTCATATTTGTGAAGCTGGTTTCTTTCTCCCTGTGAGAAGGCGCTCCATTTGCCTAAATTACTCACTTACAATTATACTCACACAGAAATATCTCAACAGAAGATGAGCATTAATTCACTCACTGCATTTTGAAATTTAAGCCCATTTATCATTGATTGGTAGTCCTAATTTTGCAGCTTCCTTGGTGCATTTCCAGTTTGATGTGTGATTTCTTCCACCATTAACCAGACAAAGCTTGCTGAGAACGCCAAATCCTACATATTCCATTGCGATATTGATGAAAGATGGAAAATAAAGTCACCATGGACATATTCGCACATAATTTATCAGGCTCCACATTTCCATTGGCTGCTCCAATTTCATTCACAATTTCTTACTTTTCATCGTCGTTTCTAGCCTCTTCCACGGCCACATGCTGTGGTCTTCCTCCATCGCCAAGTTTGCCAATGAGCCACAGTCACACGAGGCTGTTGGTGGCTTGTACTCATCTTCACCGGTTCTCGCTTCACACACCCTCGAGAATGCCTCAGTGCGAGTGAACTTACTCCAATTCCAAAGGCGCTCAATTCAATACAATACCACTCTCAACTTCGATTCACCCACAAACTACTGAGAAACCCCATTCTCACAGAAATGCAGTTGTCAATCCTCCTTGTCTATGACCGTTAGCAGTGAGGACAATTGGGTAAGCTAATTATATTTATTGACACAGTGGAGAGCAATGAGTCGTAGATCTCGGATGTAATTATCCATTTCTATGCATCTTCCTTTTTACTTACTTCCACTAAACTACTTCGCGGTGCTGAATTATTCACCAACATAAGATCATCAACTACTTTTAGATCACAACTTGGTACCAATGCACTTTCCTATCTAAAAATACACCCTTATGCGGGTACAACTTACTCTATTATAGAGTAACTACAATCAATCATCTATGACCTTCACTTCGTATAACCGCAAAGAAACGATGAGGTAAAAGCATTTGTGTTATGAATCTTACCAGAACAAAGTCAAACACACTCATGCAACGCAAATTTCACACCAACTCATTATTTATTAAATCATTTTCGTACAGCGAAGTAGAAGCAAACAGGTAGGATCTACTCACATTTAGCCTCAAACCAAAGCGAACCACTTTCAAGTTGTGAAGCTGATGGAGTATTGTCTTTTAGCGTCAGCAATAAGAAATAATACAAGTCCAACCCAATGAATTGTTCAATAATCGGAAAATTCATACCTTCTGTGAGCAATTTCGCCATGTATTAATATGTGCATATATACATATATTCCTGTATATACCTCTACTTGAGTGCATGAGCATGCCAAAATTTAGTTTCAAAATATATAAATACAAATATATGTAGATATATATATATATTTATTTATACATTTAATTTAATATATATATATATATGCGTGTTCTTATGCTGCTTGAAGAAATCGTCATAGGGCTCGATCTGAATGTATATTGTGAATTCTTCCAAATGACTTCTGTACTATAGGAGCCTTCGAGTACACTAGCAGTGGGGTCGATCAAGTTAGCTGAATATTTCTGTCCCCACTTGAATTTAATTTAGTACTTATCTGTTTTTAGTGCATACAAGCGTAGCACACCACAACTTCTCCGAAAAAAGCCTTCATTACCAGTGGAATATGCACGATGGATAATTGGGGCATAGTGNATCAGTTGGGCACTCCTCTCACTCCACGTTCAGCAAGTGTTAACGACCTCTTCACCATTGGCCAAGAAGACCCGAGCGGTGTTCAGTTATCAGACAACGCACTCCTGTGTTTAGTCACTGTAATTAACTACACCAGGAGGCCGGCTTCACAAGTGACTATCTTGTTATATCAAATATCGCAATTCGTGTTGTTTTGTATCTCATGCTATCGCCTTTAGAGGCCTTATCCTCGGTCTTGAGAAAGTAATTTATTCCCCACCAGTATCTGGAAGTCTGTTTTTTATTGTCCTTAGAAATTCAATGAAAAAATGCTTAAATGAGGGGATAAGAATTTGCATGGACAAAGTAAGTCTAGTGTGAATCTTTATTTGCAGTGACAATAATTCAACTAATAATACACTACAATACACAAAGAAACAATACAAAACAAAGCAATAGAGTAGAAGCTCAACGTCTGCGTACGTGTCTAAATGGATTTGTAAAAGACCTGATCGAACGAAATATGGTTCTCCGAAATGCAGTTCCTCTCCGCTGGTGACAGGCGGGGCACAGGAAGGAAGAGTTAGAGCGCTCACTTTCGATTAAGCATTGCATATATGGCCGCTGACAGCCTCGACATCTGGTCATCGTGCCGTGTGATATATCACGATAACACCTGTGGCATATGTGATAGGGCAACATAAAACCCTTGTAATATCTAGCGGTGAGGCGAGATTGAGATGTATCGGCAACTTGAGCAAAGAATCGGTCGACTTCGTCCTCGCTCTCGTCGGTATCATCCTCAAACACTCCCTCTAGTCGATCCACCAGTTGACGTCCAAGCTTCTCCTAAAATGTAATGACTTTCAAAAGTGACCTCTTCTACAAACCTCTTCCACGACTGGACCAACAATTGAGCTTCGAAAGTTATTTTATCTCTGAGTCTAAGTTTAAAGCCACTTTTTTGCGTGACATAAATCCTATCAGCTAGCGCCTCGTTTTTACTAAAATGCGATTTCTATCTTATGCAGCATGAACATGTCAAAAATGGAGAGACCAACTACATGGAATAGGAGAGCTGATGGAATCCGTGCAAGCTCGTAACAAGATCGCAAATTGTACTTACACGAAATCAGTCGTTAGCAGTAGACACTTGTCTTTACGGCCCAAAGATTATATAAACTAACATTGGATAGACAAGCAGCACTTAAAACATAAACAACTTTTAAAAAGATAAAAAACAATTATATTCATAAATTTTGACCATATGACGCAGAAAAACGTGATGATAAAATTGAAATTGGGTAGTTACAGGAGGGGGATTAGGAATTACAAGGATAAATTCTTATTATAAAAATGCATGATAAAATTGATATCGCGAACCATTACAGTCACTCGTTTAGCATGCGCAGCAGCACGAGCACAAAGGGAGAAAAAATCCACAATAAATGCCTCCGTGCCCTCTTGTAGACAATCCAAAGCAGCGGCTTGCCATCGTAGATTCTGAGTCCTATATTCACAATCATGACTAATTGATCGAACAACGCGTGCAAAACATGCTCGACTACAAAAGAGGAATAGCAGGGTTGATTGGTGCAAGAAGTATAGAAAAAAATTCAAGGATGGCTCCAGGTAAAATACACAGTTTTACCAGAAGGTTAATTCTGCATTAATTAGGCTGATTACGAAGTACTCGCTCAGGTAAGATCCTTAAAATAACAATTTGAAACAAGTGACGACAATATTAATCAAAGGAAACTTGTGGGGAAACATCGAATTGAGAGATCAAAACAAGACTTTCTACTAGAAAAAGTTAAGGTTGGTAAAATCCAAAAGCAGTGTAAATAGTACAAAGTATACTGGTTCATAAAATCTGATATAAATTGTTCAAATGAAAAAGCATAAATGTCGCTCTACCGAGATAAGAGCAGTGGCACAATAATAGACACAACATACCGAATGAGAGGGTGCGTAGTTCTCTGCAAATAGCGAATCTCTGCAAGGACTAATTTAGCCAATTTTGCCCTCCTTTTTGATCGAGAGGGAACACGAGGGGCGTCATTATTATTATTTGTATTAGCAGTATTTAGATTGTTCGAATTTGATGTGTTGTGTGCCGAAGGACCTGGAAGATTTCTAGGGACTGCGACTACAAATTCTGTACCAATATCTACTTAAATATTGTTTTAAAAGCATGAGAAAGAACCTTCTCTGCGTTGTGGTCTATGCCGACGTTTTCGAGCTGATCTAACAGACATGTGAGATCTGTCAAGATCCGTTCTAGAAATTAAAATCTCCTAAGTTAATGCAAATAACATAACGGGAGAAATGAAAAATCAATGACATACTCTCGCAATGGCGTACTAACAGCAAGAGGTCTCAATCTATGCCCCGAATCGGACATTCGAAATTTGCAATCCGCTCCTTTTAACTGATCTTAGGTTAAGGATCGTGGAAAAGAAGTCAACCAGGAGCGCTATCGTTCAGTGTAAAATATTAAGATTAACGTGGTAGGGGTTTTATATTTTATATTTTTAATTTATCTGCTTCAAAAGATCTTGTTGCTTCTGATTTGATATACTTAAGTCTTTAAGTTGAATGGTGTATGTCTATTTATTATTTATTTTTTAAAAGGAATAAAAAATGATTAACGCATACTTCAATATATAAATAAGAAGTATTAGCTAAGATGCTTTCAATTTTCACTTTTACTTGAAACATTTTTAAGTTATTAGATTTGTGATGGAAATGTTCAAGCTCATGTAAAGAATGTACTATTTTATAAAATTTGGAATTTTTGTGTGTGTTTATTGTGTTGACATCAGATGCAAGAAATGGGAATGCAGTTGTTTTTCAACTAAATCGAGTGGGGTTGTTTTAGAGTTCCATTGGGAGGCGCTATCATAAACTAATGGAATAACCCCAAACATCGTTAAAAATGCGAAAATTAACACTGCCAGAGTTTTTCCAAGAATATCTTCATTATTTAATCGCACTAATTAAAATAAGCCATATGGGGACGTAAAGATTCTCTACCAAGACCCCAAATTTTAACGAGGTTAAACTCTTCAATCGCCACACTTTTAATGTCTTAATACTTAGGTAATAAATTTTTGCAATTGCCATGTTGAAAAATTCAGTGAATCATAAAGATCCATGCTACTATCTCATGCCTTTTCTCTTGCTTAATTCTAAAAAGAGCATTCAGATGGTTGCAACATTTCCCTTCTTGTAGGTACGAATTTTGCTTGTATTTAGAATTATACTGTATTTACAATACCTGAATTCATGACTCATCCTCACTGGTATTATCCCCTGTCTAACCGATTCCTGTCGAATTCTTCATACATCCACGTTTCCTTTCCGAAACACAAAAATAGTCTCTATAAATAACCCATCAAATTTCTATCGGCGACAACATAAGTGCTGTTCTTTTCCGATATACAATCCGACGTTACTTGAAAGAATCACCATCGCATATTGTCACTACTCAACTTCTTGATGTTTTCTGGTTAAATTAGCTGATATTGTATTAATTCAAACAGCACTGTCAGTGAGGTAAATACGATGTGTTCTAATTCACTCCGCATAATTCATGTTATATATTATATTTTTTGAATAAATAAGTTAACAGAGGTAGTCTTTTGACCTCCATCAACTAAAGATTTCAGGAAAACGCTCCTATTCTTTATGAAAAAAAGGGTCTGTTCAAACTGAACTAGCTCTCTGTTAAGGAGAAGGGCGAGACAAAATATAAGAGCTGTAATTGAAAGAGCAAAGATTTGGGGCTTTGAAAAGAAAGTAATAAATTAAATTTTTGAGCCCAAGATGGCTATACTTTTTATTAACTAATTAACTATTATTTCTAACTATGTTTTAAAGATAGTTGCATGAGAAATAATCAATTAAATCGGGTTTTTTCGTTAAAACATAAGTAGTAGTTCCCATCAATTTACTATAATTGCACTAAGGAGGCAAAAAATGAGGTCAAGACTGCTGAGTCCTCTAAACCAATCAATAGTCACGGCATAGTCAATGTAATCGAAATTGTGTTCAATGACTAAGCTCCGAGTCAGTTGCATACAGACCAAATAAGCGGGTTCTACATCATACGTCTGTTTCTTCTTTGGATTTGAGGGAGCTTAGCTCAGCCTGGGAACCCTTCTAAACTAGGAGATCTCGCCACTGGGGTAACTGAACACAATTTTAGGCTTATTAGTGTAGTAATCCGCCATAAGAGTTCGTTTGACCAATATTAGAATTGGTATTGTGCCTTCTACTTCATGCAAGCGGCATTCTCGATTTACAGGTAGATCAGCTTAATTTTTCAATATGAAATTGTTGGAGTCCTTGTGCGTTACTAATAAAGTGTATTTAATCAAGCACATGTGACAAGGAAATATGACATTTAATTGAACTAAACTAATATAAGACTCGTTAATATGGATAGCGAGGAGTAAGACCTTGTCTAAACTCAAAACTTAACTAGTGTTGGCAGAAGGCTTCATTTTATTTTTTGCAAATTATCATTTAGGGAATAGTGAAAACTACAATGGGGGATGATTTCGATTTAATTTATAAAATATTTCTGTGATAATTGAGAGATAATCAAGAATATTTAAATGCTATGAATGAAAAATATAGAAAACGGAAGAAGCTTAACTAGAATATGCTTAAAATAAAGGACATCTCGAAAAGAACAAACTGGTTTGGTCATTTGGCGTTAGGTTTGCGAGTAACATCCTCCAACCATTCCTGAACTTGTTAACCAAAACGCCGGAAAGCGACGTGTATGACCGGCTCAAACAAGCAATCTGTGGCCACCTTTCTATTCCTCAAGAAAAACAGATAGAAAGTCTTTTCACGAAAGTCGAACTTGGTGATTGATCACCGTATCAACTCCTACTCCAAATTTTTTCTCTGGACGGCAACAATGAATTGCTAACTGAAACCTCCGAGAACTTTGGCTAAGCTCACTTCCCGAAAACTTGGTTACACAGCTAATGACCAGCCCTTATCAGCATTTGGATTGTGCAGCCGTACGCACAGAACTCCGATTAGATATTTAGATAATAATGTCCACCCAAAATATTTAAGATTTATTTGATAACTATTAGCATTTGCCGAGATCATAATCAACGATAAACGTGTTCTGTGTAATATATCTCCTTTTCTCCCTGGCTTCACTGTAGTTGAGCTAGTTCTGGGAGTCTAGCCAGATATGGGATTTACTGCCATAGGGGTTGTTTGGGGTCGATCAAGGCCTTTCTGGAGAAACAATCCGCCATAGCGTTAACATCAGAATGGTAGATAAACGATGTACAAATAACAAACAATATGCGAAATTATCAAAAGGTCTAACATGAAAACTAAATTAGATCATTTATCATGTTTCAAGCTAAACTACTTTAGAACGGCAATGGATAAAGCTTGGAGGGTTTCACAATCGCTTTAAGTGGGCACAAATTTTACCTTAGTTCTAATACTTTCGGCAGCAATTCTCAGACTTAGAATGAATGCACCTTTATTGCCAGATTAGTTATAATTTTGTAAGAAGGCAAGAACATGATGCATATTCTTTATATTTATTCAGATGTGGTTAATACAAAATTGAAAGAATCAATCATTTTGATTTCAATAATCTGTTTATAAAATCTAAAATATTTGAATGATAAATAAGCTCAAAACGTGAATAACAAAACTGACTTTTCAAATGGAATTTATGTAAACTTAATTATTTTAATTGAATTTCTTAGGTTGTTCTGTTGCATTTATTTTTTCCTGGTCACAAGGTTAAATCGTTCATATCACAATTGGATTATGATGAAGTTGCTCGTGTCAACGGCGTTGGGAGCTGGGCTGTTTGTTTAGTATATGTTGACTTATCTTTTTTTTCATAGCGCATATGGTGGATACAAATATTATAAACACTGGTCATTTGTAAGATAGGTTCAATAAAATTTACTTTTAGCTTAAAACGGTGGAAAGTTTATCATTTGATAATGACTTTAAAACCACTGATGCTTCCAAATGGATGTCTGAGCCCATAACTCCCAAGGAAGAGCTCCTGGTATGTCGTTTCTTTTTGAAGCTTACAGTTTTCGTTAGAATTCGAATGACGTTAGATCAAAAATGGAAATGCTTTGTATGGATCTACAAGTGAGATTACACAAGACTGAGCTAATGTTTTTTGATATTTCAATTCAATGCTTTGTGCTTTAGGCTCATTTATGTCGGTCTATGGAAACCATCGATGGCAAAGCACGCTTCATTGCTGATCGCTGGATGCGCAACGATGTAAGCCATTTTTTGCAGAAGAAGATGTGATTTTTCATTGAAAATGACAGGGTTTTTAAATTCTAGGGTAACGGCGGTGGAATTTCTTGCGTACTTCAAGGTGGGAGAGTTTTTGAGAAAGCTGGCGTTAATATCAGTGTTATTACTAGTACCCTTTCCGATAACGCAATCCAACAAATGAAGGAGAGGTGAAGTGTGATCTTTTATTTCTTTATCTCACTTTGTTGCGTTTAGATCGAAAGATCTTGAAATTGGTCGCAATTACACCTTCAGAGTTGTTGGAATTAGTTCAGTTAATCATCCTGTAAGTTGATTTCTTTCTTGACTATTTGAATATATATTTGTTGTTCGCCTTGATAGTTGAATCCTCATGCTCCTACGATGCACTTCAATTTCCGATATTTCGAAGTGACTGATGTGGAAACGGGTCGCATTATCTGGTGGTTTGGTGGGGGCTGTGACTTAACACCGCATTTCCTCTATGAAGAAGACGCCAAAAGCTTCCACAAGCACTTCAAAGACGCTTGTGATGTTAATAATCCATCTTATTACCCTGATTTCAAGAGGTGGTGTGATAAGTACTTCTTCATCAAACACAGAAGTACGTCCCGTTGTTTAGCTGATTCCTCGTAGCTCAAAATCATATTTTCCGAAAGCTTTTATTGTTGTAATTCTAAGATCAGTAACATGCAGGGTTACGAAAAGTCGGAAAATAAGTCGGACGGCTAAGATAATGCGAAGGCTCATAGAAGGAGAAGGCGTGATAATTTTTGTGGCTCTAGAGAAGTTTATTTATTTATTTATATCAAATGGCAGGCGTTTTGATAGTTATCATTAACCCTGAAGCTGACTTCAGGTCTTCACAGAGAGGAGAAGAAACATCAAAATGAGAAGAATTCGAGATGGGAAACAGAAGAGTGATTCACAGATGTAAAAGCGGCAGACAGACAGACAGGCACAAAGACATAAAATGGTGAGGTGATTACTGTCGAATTAGTCGAATATGGGATACAGTGGGGTGATGGTAGTTTGAAGTCAGAAGTCAACTGACGATCAATAGACTTTTTGCCGTATAAGTATACGTTGCCCAGGGTGCACCACGTGGAGGTAAGTCTATCGCACACCC